ACTGTGGTGGAGTCGCCGTGGGCGGCCTTGATGGCTCGACGTGCGAACACTCCATGGCCTAGTCGTAGCTTTCGGTCAGCACGCTGGCGGCGAGCGGCACTTCCTCAGGATCTGGGCAGCTGCCTTGTAGTGGTGTTGCGGTGGCGCGGGGCTGAGCTGCTGAAGTCGGATCAAATCCAAATCGTTGAGATGATACAGCGAGTAGATACCACGGTGATCGCCACGCGATCAGCAAGGTAGTAGGTGGTCGCCAAGGCTTGGGGTTGGTAGCGACCGGTGCGCCACAGGACGCTCGCTGCGAGGTCGTGATGACAACCGCAGCGCTCCCGGGCGAGGACGATGAAGGCCGGACATATAGCGACCATGGCCACCAGCGAAACAAGAGGATGCCGGGTACCCACGATAAAGCGCATTCCGAGAAACGCCCTTAAAATCCGTCACAGCAGCGCAATAGACGGAGCGACCGAGGTAGGGAACGCCGTCGTAGCAGGGCCTACCCGTGTGCCTGACGGTCACGGTCAGGGCCTGTTCGATAGTCCATGCTCGGCGTGGGCCCTCGCGATAGCGGGCAAAGATGTGAATGCCAAAGTCGATGCCAGACCCAAGAGGATGGCCGAAAAGCCCACGGTGATCATGTTGAGGCTGCCGATGGCCAAGTAGGGTGACGCAAAGTCCAAGTCAAGCTCATCAGCAACGGCAAGGTGATGATGATGAGCGAGCCAATCACTTGGCGGAAGAATAGTGTGATGAGCAGGAGTACACGACGATGCTGTAAGGCCGTTGACTGAGATCTTGTATAATGATCGTGAATTGGTTGGCGCTGTTTTGGAAAACTGCCTTGTACAAGCATTCGATTGCTGGGTGGATGGAAGCGCTCGGCCGATGGCGGCATGGTCTGGTCGAGATGGTCAATCAGGGCCTGCGAGAGACGCAGCACGTCTGTGGGTAGACCGGCCGGATAGAGCAGCAGGATGACGCCGTTGCCCTCTTGCGTGACGAAGTATTGGCGTATTGCTCGGCAAACGCGGTCGCCGCGCGTCTGCTGGTATTTGGCCTCGATATCGCAAAGTCGAGCACCTGCTCTTCCTCGTCGTCAAAGGCGAAATAGAGCGGCGACTGCTTGAGCTTTTGCAGCTCTATGTGCTCGTCGAGGCGGCGGTTGATTTCTTGCAGGTCCTCTAAGTCCATGTAGAGGAGTTGGTTTTTTTCGAGCAGATCCTTTTGCTGTCGAGGGGGCTCACGAACTAATCAGCGGGCGTGTTCGAGTGAATGGCAAGACCAGCATGAAGGAAACGGCCGCGTCCAAGTCGTCGCTGGTAATGACGACCATCAACGGGCCAATGCCGCCGATGCGGGCCTTGATGCGGTTGAGTTCGCGGACGCTGACGTAATCGTCGGACAGGAGGTCGGCGAAGTCGGTCTTGATATTTCCGGCCAGCTTGGCGGCGAAGAATCCGGCAAATACCGACAGCAGTGTGGCCAGCGCGATTATGCCGATGTAGTGGTGGTAGATGTAGCGAACCAAGCGCTGGTGGCTTATGGGCATGGCGGAGGGTTAATCTCGGTTTCCCGCAGGCGGGCCAACTGCTTGTCGAGCTGGACGATTAGCTGCTCGTAGCCATTTTTCTCAATGTAGCGGGCGTAGCGCCGCCTGTTGCCCTCGGCAGTGCTGACGCCGTCGATGACCAAGTCGTATATCCGCCACAAACCCTCCACCCGATGGAGCTTGTACTCGATCTCTATTTGCTCATCCCGCACGGGTGCCACCGCTTGGACCACAGCCGCGTCCCCTTGCACCTCGGCCGACTCGTAGCGGATCTCACCCTCGCGGTAGTAGCGGGAGAAGCTGGCAAAATTCTGCTCGCGGATGATGCTGCTGAAGGTCTCGGCGAAGTGGTCGCGCTCGGCCGGGGAGCGTTCTTCCCAGTAATCCCCCAAGGCGAGGCGACTCAATTCCCGGAAGTCAAAGGCCGCGTTGATGTGCTTCTTGATCTCTTCCCGCACGGCCGGGGGCAGCGAGTCGGCCGGTGCCTCGGCGAGGATGGCCTGCACCTCGGCGTCGTGGCCCTGAGGAAGGCGATGGGGTCGTCCTCTGCGGCGGCGCTGGCAGCTACTGCGCCGCAGAGGACGACCCATACAGCGCACCATACCATTTTCATTGGGGATTCTCCTCTGCGTACGCGCCGTTGGAGACGGGTAATCCGCCGCAGTAGTTGGTGATGCGCCCGCCGTCAAAGGCTGCGCGTCCAGACTCGCAGATCTGCGTAGTACGCTTCGGCGTACGAACGGGTCGAATTGGCGTCTGTCAGCAGCCCCAGGCCAATGGTGCGCTCGGCCGGCCGGCCGCCGAGCTTTTCTCGGTGGTGTTTCTCCAAGTCAACGACCTCAAAGGTCCATTTGCCCAAGTTGGTCGCGCCGCTTTCGACGACGAAGAACCAAGGCCGGAATATCTTGTCGCGCCGCCCCACCGTGCCTTCGGGCAAGGTCGTGCTCCACACGTATTTGAGCTGTTTGGGGACCCCCAGCCAATTCTTGGAGAAGATGACGTACAGGCCGGCTGCGCTGTCGTTGGCATCGTCGAGGAACTCGTTACGCCTAGCGGCAAGGCTGCGGCCCGCCAGCACCAAGTCATAATCGGGTATTGGCGGGGATTCCAGTGGACGAATTTTCCCACGATGACCGAATGGCTCGAATCGCGCGCCGCCATGTAGCGCCGAGGGCGGCCCTCTACGCGGTAGAGCACGGGTTTGTGGCGGTCCTTTTTCTTCCACGGCCCCCACTCCATGGGCTGCGATCCGTCCCAAGTAGCAGCGAAATCCTCGAGGACGACGAACTCGCGCTCGGCTAGCTGGGCTTCCAGTACCGGCGGAGAATGGCCGTTGTCGATCAGCGACTGGTAGCGACGCCGATAGTGGCTGGAGACGGGCTGGCCGTCGATCTTCAGCTCGGCGATTTTCCAAGTTCCGTTTGCAAAAATTAAGTCGGCCTCCACGTCGAGCGAGCGAGTGGCAAATAACGCGCGAAGCTGCGCACGGCCTCGCCGGCCATTCACTGCGAGGCTATCCAAGCGCAAGCCGTGCCAGCCCGGGGCAGCGAGTTGGACGGCCAAGTCGGCGCTGAGGCGGTGCTGGTAGGCCCTGGCCAGTCGGCTGCGATAGTGCTCGACGAGGTGTGTAAAGCGCGAGCTGGATAGCAGGCTCCGGTATGCGTCCAGCGACTTTTCGAGATAGTCGCCAAAGGTCGCCGCGGCAAATTCGTCCAAGGCCACGTGCTCGCTCACTAGGCGGTCGGCCGAGCCGGCGCGCTCGCGATTGGGTGCCTCTAGCAGCGCGTTTAGCTGCGCCACGGCCGCCGTCGCCCAAGCTGCGTCGGCCCCACCGTCGCTTGGGCCGACCAAAGCCAACAGCAAAGCCGCGCTAAGGAGACGGTTCATCGCGTGCGATCAGTTCGAGACCGCCCGTGGCTTTTTCGAGGCGGGCGACGCTGAGGTTGAAGTCGTACAGGGCTTCGCCGTAGCCTTGTTCGCGGCGGGCCCAGGTCTCAAAGGCGGCGATCAATTCGCCGATGGTCTGCGGGTCGAACTCAAAATCGTCGCGGGCTTCCCGCAGCCACTGCCGGCCAATTGCCGGCTCTGGCGCGCGTCTTGCAGGTCGCGGTCGGCGCGGCGATAGGCCAAATAGGCGCGGTGGACATCTAAGCGGATCCCTTCCTGCGCGCCCGGGACACGCGCTTCGAGCGCGCGGTATTCAGCGCGTGCCCTAGCTACATCTGCTGCCAACAAGTGCCATTCCAAGGATTGCCGCACCCCCGATGAAGACGCCGCCGTTAAAAAAGTTAAACTCATCTTTGACGAATGGGTTCCGCTGGTCGGTGCGCCCAGGGGCCACGGCGTAGCGCAAGCCGCCGCCGATGAACACTTGGGGCTGGTACGCGGCGCGGGCGACTTGTGTGAGGGCCTGTTTGGCGGCGAGGCCCGCCTGCAGCTTGCGCCATTCCGGTCGCCGGCCGACGGCCTGTATGACTAGCTCGTCTAAGGGCGGCACCGAGGCCACCGCCGGTGCGAGTCGCTCAGCCCGGAGCAGGAGCGGCCCATCGCTAGGCAAACTAGTGCGCCAAGCCAGCGCAGCCCGTGCCAAGGCCAATTGGTCGGTGACCTCGCGCTGCTGCACGGCCAAGTCGAGCTGGGCCAGCCGCAGCTTGTAGCGGTCGGATGGGGAGCGCGCGGGGTCGTCGTCCAGTTCCTCGGCCCCTACTGGCCAGCTCATCGCTCACGCGCTGCACCAAGGCGTTTAGGTCTTGGGCCAACAGCAGGCCGTAGTATAGCTCCTTGACGGCAAAGGCCACGTCCAACCGAGTCTGCGACAGATCGGACTGCTCCACATCGACCCCTCGGGTGGCGGCCTCGTCTAGGTGCGGCCGAGGCTAAAGGGATAGAGCGGCTGCACAAATTGCAGCTCGGCGCGCGCAAAAGGCCCCAAGGAGGGGATGCCCGTGGTGTCGGAGGGTAGGGTTGAACACACTGCCCATAGCGTCTGGGACTAGGCCACTTTCGCTGTCGATGCGCAGGCGAGGGAGAATTTTGGCGGCCGCAGCTTGGCGGCGGCGGGCCGCGGCCGACTCGACCTTCCAACGGCCGCTTGCAACGTCGCCATCGCGCTCCAAGGCGCGGTCAATAAGCTCGGGCAGCGTCCAGCGCTTGTCGGGCATTTGGGCGTGGGCCGGGAGGGCGGGCAAGCACATGGCGAGGCCCCAAACCCCTAGCCATAAGGGGGTGCAAATTTGCATGCCAGAGGGAAATCTCAGCGGCGGAAGAGGCGGAATTCGCGGTGATAGCGCGGGTTCGTCATTTTTATAACTTGTTAAAAATAGTTAAGTTAATATACAGACTAAGCGATTTAGCGTCAATGTTCCAGCCCGTCTGCTTCTTGGATTATACAACACCCGAACCCTATGTTTTATGCACCTATGTTTTTCTTAAAATGCGCGAATAGGCGGGCGCAATGCAGCCGACTTTAGTCGTCCGGGAAGCCTGCGAACACAACTTGCGCGCCGTTTCCTTGGACCTGCCCCACGAATCCCTCGTGGCCTTCAGCGGCCCGTCCGGGTCGGGCAAGACTTCCCTCGTATTGGACACGATTTACGCCGAGGCGCGCCGGCGCTTTCTCGCGGCGCTGGACCAGGAGGTGGCTGGCGCGCGTTGCGCGTGCCCAAGGCCAGCGTCATCGACGGCTTAGCCCCTGCCCTCGCGCTGGCCGGAGGGGCCGGCCACCAGAGCCCACGGGCCACGGTCGCGACCCTATCCGGCTGTACGACCTGTTGCGCCTGCTTTTTGCCCGCGTCGGTCGGCCCGGCTGTCTCCACTGCGGCGGACGGTGCAGACGCATCGCTTTGAGGAAGCAAGCGAAGCGGCTGCGAGTATGCCTGATGGCACTCGCCTGATGATTCTCGCGCCGCGCCGGCGGCGGGAGGACGAGACGCCCGAGCAGGTCCTCACCGCGATTGATCGCGCTGGCTACCGCCATGTGCGCCTCGACAAACAAGACCTGCTGCTGGAGGACATCGCGCCCGAGCGCGTCGCCCGCGCCCAGCACCTGTCCGTGGTCGTCGATCGCCTCGTAGTCAAAAAGGGCATCTCGCGCCGCTTGCACGGGTCGCTGCAAGCGGCCTTGGAGGCGGGCGACGGCCAAGTGGTACTTTCTACCCTAGGCGCAGAAAGCGATCTGGTTTTTGCAGTGCGGCCAGCGTGCTCGGCCTGCGGCGCGCCCTTCCCGCCCCTAGAACCCGCGCTGTTTTCCTTTAATAGCGCGACCGGAGCCTGCGCGGCATGCCGGGGCCTCGGGGTGCAGAGCGGCTTGAGTAGCGAGCAAGTCTTCGCCAGTGGATACGAACCCCCCCGGCCCCCCCCCCCCCCCCCCGGACCGACGCGCAGCTAGAACCGGGCCCGGAAATGAGACGATTTAACCCCGCCCCAAACTGTCCGCCACAACTGAAGTAATACATAACCCCCCACCGCTCACCCCAACCCCCCCCACTTTTCCCCACCCCTCCACCCCCCTACTTTCCTCCGTCGCCTTCTGCCCCTTTTCTCTCTCCCCTCCCCCCCGCTCCCGTCCCGGGCAGCACCCCACCCCTCCCCAACCTCCCGGCGGCCCCCCCATCCTCGCTTCTCCCCGCGTTTCCCTCCCTTCTTTCCACCCCAATCCTCAAGCCCCTCCCGTCTTCCTCTTCGGCATTCGAGCCCACCTCTCTTTCCCTGCCACGCCTTGCCCCATATCCCGCCCTCCTTCGCGCCCCTTTTCCGCCCACCCCAACAAACGGGGCCGACCACGCTCGAATGGGGGCATCTGGGGCCTCCTGTGGCACTACTTTGGGTTCACTCGCCCCAGTCGAGACCCGTGTGCGGCTTCGTTTCCGCCTTAATCTGCCCCTCTGCCTCCCTTTCAGGCTGTAAATGCCCTGGGCTATCTGCATTTTTGCGGTCTCCGATATCGGAAGTAGGGATTCCGGAAGGAACGGACCTCCCGGACGGTCTTCAGGGATGGTAGCCACCCATTAGAAACCCTCGTCAATCGCGTCGACTGGCCCAATTTTCCACACCGCAGAGGACACAAAGGAACGCAAAGATTTTTTGTTAAAATTGACCCAACCAAAAAACTCCGCCTCACTCCGCTCATTCGGAAATTGGTTTTGGAGTGTTGCCATGGTGGCTTTGATTGACCAGCAGGCGTTGCAAAGTATCCCTGCCGCGGGTGACCGGTACGGTTAGATTGGCCGGCTTGAACGACAAGGTTGAAATCCACCGCGACCAGTGGGCCATTCCCACGCCAAGGCATCGAACCTGGCGGACGCGTTCTTTGCCCAGGGTTTTTTCACGGCCCAGGACCGGCTGTGGCAGATGGAATACGACCGGTGCAGGGGCGGCGGCCGGTGGGCGGAGGTCGTGGGAGAGGGGGCGGTCGACCAGGACATTTTAATGCGCAGGTTCCGTCTGGTAGACAGCGCCAAAGAGGACTACCGGACCACCACGGGCGATACCAGGATTATGTTCGCGCCTACGCCCAGGGGGTTAACGCTTTTATCCAGACCACCTATTCCTCTTCCCGTGGAGTAACGGCAATCATCCGATCAAGCACCCCAACCCTGGGAACCGTGGAACGGGTTTGGTGTGTACCAGGCGGCACTCCTCATGGGGGTTTTTGAGTCCAAGATCTGGCTGGCCAAGTTTGCCCCAAGCTGGACCCTTAAAAGACGGCCAACGATTTCCCCGATACGACCCGGACACCTCTGAATACTGCCTCCGGGAGAGGCCTACCAGGGCGCGCTGGACGACGGCCTGGAGGAATTGAGCCGGGGCGCCGGTTCATTGAATTACCTGCATGAGAGCGACCTTGGCAGCAACAGCTTCGCACTGGCCGGAGACCGCACCAAATCCGGAATGCCAATCCTGGCAGGCGATTCTCACCGGGCACTCGATACGCCCAATGCCTATTACCAGAATCACATAGCCTGTCCCGATTTCGACGTCGTGGGACTGTCATGCCCGGGCTGCCCGGCTTCCCCCACTTCGGCCACAACACCCACGTCGCTTGTCTGTTCCCCCAAAGACACACCCCCTGGCCGACCACCGGACTTTACATCGAGCGATTCAATCCCGATGACCCAAAGCAGTACCTGTACCAGGACCGCTGGCTCCCGGCCCAAGTCTACGACGAAACCATCAAGGTCAAGGACGGAGAGAGTCGGGACATCAAATCGGTGGTCACACGCCACGGGCCGGTAATCGCGGGCGACCTTAAGCAGGACCGGGGTGAGCTTCAATTCAACCGCCACCGAGGGGCCTGATTCAGCGCCCTGCCTGGACCACGCACTGCTCACCCCCCATTCTCCGGTCAGTAATACGCCCCGAAATGTCGAGTCCAGAGGGATTTGGGTAACCCGTCAACAACTTCCCTGCTGCCGACGTGAAGGGCAACTTTGGATACCTCTGCCGGGACTCATCCCATTCGTTCCATGACAACGCCTCCGCTTCCCGGCTCCGGTTGGACCGGGACAATGAGTGGATCGTTACATCCCTTCGAATAAATGCCCCATCCTGACCGGATCGGGCTACGTGGCTACGGCCAACAACCGGCCCGTGGGAGAGGACTAACCCCCCACCACACTCATTGGATTTCAACGCCCCGCTTCCGGCAGAACTGGTGACCGCCCCTTCCCCCACCCCCCCCCCCCCCCCCCCCCCCCCCCCCCCCCCCCCCCCTCCTCCCTAGCCAACTTCCATCCGCCGCGACATGGCCGAGGTACACCGGAAATGGTCTCAGCACCAGCCCAATCCTACTTGGTTTCCTACAAGACGTAACACCGGAAAACCCCGAGGCGGCCCGCGCCAAAGCAAAATTGCTTGGCTGGAACTGCCGAATGGACGCGGCCGCGGTGGAACCCACCATTTACAGCGCGTTCCGAGACGCCCTGCTGAAAGACTTGCTGGACGCGTATCTTGGCCCCGAGTTGGCCCGGGCGTCGTGGAAACCCGAGGGCAGGGGCCTGGGCCTCTTCTTGGGACGCCTCAAGGCCGTCTGATTGTGCTGATCGCGGACCGATGACCCCAGATGCTCTCCCCATGAAACCCTGGCAGGATTGATGTCACGGCCTTAACCCAGGCAGTGGCCGAAATGACGGAGCGGCTGGTCGAAACATGGAAACCTGGCAATGGAGCCTTGTGCACCAGCAAGACCAGTCCACACCTGTCGGCGAGCCGGCCCCGAACCTCGCCGAATTGCCTGAACCCACCCCGCCACCCATACCAGCATCGGCGACGGAAACACCCCAGCTGGCCGCGCCTACTCTGCTGCCAATTTCGCTACGGTCACCAGCCTTTCGGTGGCTCGGTACTCCTACGACACCGCCGATTGGGAGAACTCTCTGTGGGTGTGCGTTGGCGCATCGGGACACCCGGCAGCCCGCACTACACCACGACCAATCGGAGGCCTGGCGCAAGGTTGAAATGATCCCCATGGAGTACGATTGGCGGGCAAGAGGACATAGTGGGACGCAGCAACCATAACCAGCCTGAGGGGGCAAAGCGGCCTTAGGAACTTCTTAAAAGTCCAACAGCTCAGGAATAACCCTGGAAAAACCGCACACTACCCGGGCGATAGGGAGTAAAGAGGAGCATGGCTCGAGAAAACTTTCCGGCGGGGGTAGCCGAACAACTGAAATATTACGTCTATCGCTTGATCGACCCCTCAAACGCGAGACATTTACGTCGGCAAAGGACGGGGCAACCGAATCTTTCATGCCAAAGGCGACCTTTCCGAGTCGGAGAACGAGGATGCCGCGGACCTGAAGTTGCGACGCATCCAGGAAATCAAAAACTCCTTGCTGGAAGTCGGCCACGTCGTACATCGGACATGGCATTGAGAGCGAGAGCGTGGCTTACGAAGTCGAGGCTGCGGTGATCGACGCTTATCCTGACTGACCACAATCTGCCGGTCACGTCTCAGACGACTACGGCTGCCCCACTTAGAGGGATCAGAGATTTGCAAGGGGCCGTTCGAAGTCCACGAGCGTTTGATGTGTATCATCGATTGTCAGACGTACGACACTTTCGGTGCCTACGATGGCCGTCCGTGTGCGTGGAAAATCACGCGATAGGGCTAGCAATACCCTGGTACTAGCGCACGTCCAGGGTTAGTTGTCGAGCTTTAGGCCGACGGAGTGGCAGTGAAGCTACTCGGACAGAATTTCCCTGCCGGAAATCTCCCCGAAGATACCGCCAGGCCGGTGGGATTGATCGGCGATCGCTGCCGAGCCCGCCGTTTTCGAGGCCGGTACGTGGGAAAGCGGGGTCCCCGGACGAGTTTCGCCCCAATGCGCGGGCCTCCCGTCCGCGTACCTTGAGCCAGAAAGTCCCACTGGCGTGATTCGTGCTACGCACGTAACGCAACCAAGGTCGAGCCCCAATTTGCGACTCTGGGCTGTCCTCCACGTCCTCGTAGATCGTTCCGTCCGGAGATGGGGCCGACGGCAGGATCCGGCGGCTTCTGCGCGACCGGGCCTGGCCCGCGCTCGGCCTCACCGGCCGCGGCGACGATTCACTGCGGTACGCTGATGAGCGCTTGCAGGTTCCGTCCACGTCCACAGCGCTCGATCGCACCGTGATCGGGTAGACTTCTTCAAGGCCGCTGTAGGCTGCGGTCAGCGCCGACTCCCAAGGCGAAGACCAACACCATCCATT